GAAGTTTCTTGCCGTCAACCCACTCGGGTAAATCAGGATAACAACCCACAAAGTCAAAAAACACCAAGACCCATGGAACTTTGGGCCCTTGCTGATTGACCAGAAACTCTACACAGACATCCTGGGTGTACCTAGACAAAGCCTGGAAGTACTCACCAGAATAATTCTGCAACCTAGACCTAGCATTCCGTTGGTCCAGCTGAGGAAAGACATGGGGTTGAACAATAACAGAGGTGAAAGAATCCCGAAAAGTTTGATAAACGTCCCAGAGACTTCGGGCGAACGGTCCCGTTTTCACACTTGGTCAAGAATTCACTGTTACACTGCTCAGGAAAAAGGTGTGAAGGGGTTGGATCACTCGGAGGTTGGTCTGACGGGCACAAAAATTGGCACGCACATCGTTCGCCCAGCGTGGCAATGATATGGCATTGCCATGACACAGCCACTGTGATCAACTTACGGTAAGGTTCGAGCTTGGCTCTAAACGCATCTCTAGCCAGCCCTAGCGGCTGCATCCACCATGCTATTTCCATACGTAAGATATGGATCCTGACTAGACTTTGCCGCAATGTCGCTTGCCTGCAGTTTGGCATTGAAGTCGTCTACCAACTTCCTGATTGCATCCTCACCTTGGCACTCAAAATAGGTCTGGGAATTCGGCTGACCGCGGCTGACCCTCTCAAGAAATCCAACCCCTTTGTTCCTCATGCCTGCTCTGAGCAGCAGGCTTGTGTTGTGGCTTAGGGGGGGCTCTCTTGGTGGCTTAGGGGGGCTCTCTCTTGTTGGAAGCGGCGTCGCGCAACAGCAACAAAGTCTACAGCACTAATTTAATATAATTTAATTTTGTTAGGCTCAGTTGGCCTGCTAAATGGCCTCATCTTCTAAAATGGTCTGATCCTGAGAGTCTCTGAGAATGCGGCCCTTCTTCCGGAACACGTCCTGCTATGGCCAGCTGAACGGAGTAGACCAGTGTGCAAAAGTACAGTAGACTGAATCTCCATGATGAATCAGTAATAATGCCAGGCACATCTGTAGTTTTTCAATATCTGAACTCCGGCCTCACCAATGTTATAGTTGGTGTAGTGGTGTAGTCCGTTTGTGTACATAACTTACCGCTTATATTTTCAATTGTGCGCAGTCCGGGTCGAACGGAAGCTCTCGTTGGGAAAGCAGCTTGCTAAATCCATCCTTCTCCTTGGCCTGCTGCGATAAGAGCAAGTTGTAGGCACTGTACTATGATGATCTATGATGCACTAATAGAGTCAATAGAGCCTATAATATACAATAATGGATAGTAAAGTGGTAAGAACATATAATAACATATAAGATATGTAATAATATACAAGAAATATACAGTAATGATTTATACAATGATATAAAATAAGACTTCAACATACTTTATATAAATGTCTAATGCATATGCACATTATGTACTCTACCCAGAATCTACCAAGAACTGCCAGCACTGACATCATGTGTTAACATGTGGTCACTAATTTCCACAATTTTCTGATGACAGCCATTGAAACACCAATCCTACAAAGCATCATGGACAACCAATAGCCATTATTGCCGAGCTGACTGGTGAGATATGTAGATGCATTTTGAATCATTATGATTCCATTATGATCCAGGATGTCTTGCAAGTGGAGACCGCAAGCGAGCACAGCAGACGATCAACTCACCAACCCATCGCTGCACCCGTTCGTGGTACAGGCCAAGCCTACCAACATAAACAGCAATGGACTTCTGGACAGTGGCGGCACCAGCTTGGCACTGGCCCTTGACACTTGCAAATCTGGGCCAAGGACTTCTGCTGAAAATGCACTGACATCCCTGCAGCACGAGCAAGAAAAACGAAACGGAACTAAAAAAACATGCAGGGGCCGTTGGTCTCAAGCAGACAAACTACGTTTCTAGTCCAACACTTCCAAACATCAAACAAAGAATCAGTTGGATGTCCGGAACGGCATGACCAAGATTGTCAGAAACAATGGAAACTATTGGGTCAAGTTCGCAGAGCAACACGACTCATATGACTGGGCTATGCGAAGTCTGAGAAATCCACTCTTGCGCAGCTCTGGAATATCTGGGCCTTCAGCACTAGCAAGCAAACAAGTATGACAGTCAGACAACGAGTTTGTCCAACTGCAAGCACATTGAATGCAAATAGATGGAGGCTACATCTTTTGTTCCAGCCTACAAAGTTTCTTCTTGCAAGGTTTTACAGCATGTCTTTGGCGCAAGTGTGAGCACCTCCTTTTGAGTTGGTTCCTACCCCTGCCATGGTGGAAGTTGGTGTGCGAGAAACCTACTCTGGAAGAGATTGCCCCTAAGGAAGAGGCCGCTACCAAGGAAGACGCCGTTAGCAAGGACGGAAAAGATTGCCACCAAGGTAAGTCAAAATTGCATACATTTGCCTGAGCTTTGGTATGGGCCTATCCCTCCCATCGATACGGCGTTGTTGCCTTTGTGCCCGTTTTCCTCATTATCAGCTTGAATGGCCACTCCGATCCTTCAGACTGATTCCGTGCTCCTTTCAAGTAAAAAATATTCACGTACCATCTACCCTGGGTGTGCTGCATTTATGTTGGAATGGGGCCCAGCCAATAGTTCTCCCCTTGGCTTTCAATTTGACTTCGCCCTCTCTCTCGGCTAGATCTCGCTGTACTCCTTTTCTGTATCCTTCTGTCATTTTCACAACCATTGCTGATTTGGCGAACCAGAATTTTTGTATGTATATAGTTCCTTGTCAGCCAGAGCATTCTCCTAATTGTGCAATGCTGACGTGTAATGTGTGATGTTTTGGGTTTGGATTGCATTTCACGTGACAAAACACAGGTTTTACATGGCTTTACAGCTAGCACAGGGCAAATAGATTGACAAAAAACAGATTTTGAGGTTACATAGGTTCAGGTTGTGGAACATTCGCTGCGGCAACAAAGGCTCGCTTTGTGAGCGTCGACGGAAAACAATGCGTCTCAAACTGGGCAGCAACCCAAATCGCGCAAAATCGACAGCAAAGATCTGCTTCCCTGGCAAGGCTTGGGTAGATTTCGGAATCCCAGCTTTGAGATTTATGACATACCCATTCGCTTGAGCCCAGGGTCTGGGTGCTCGTCATGGTATGAATCCCTCAGCTCGATGGTCTCCATCGACTTCATTCGCGTTCATCATTTACAATGCTACTTTGTGCTACTTTGATGTCACTGCTGCCTGCTGCTCTAGGTCTTCCAACTGACATCGAAGTCTTTCAACAACTCCATGTAGAACCTCATTATACAGACACTGACGCAGTTGAAGTAGGTTTCAAATAGCTGCCTTGGGCGATCGTGCTGGAGGAAATGCTGAGTGGATCTGATTTGCAGCTTTCGCAGGAAGAAATTCGACAACCACAGCCACGACAGCCAGAGCTGTTCAAGCGCATTCCAGAAAGGTCTCGGCTGCACTGACTTTGTTCTGGCATCTTCAACCTTGCTAGGTGTTGCAGCAATTTCCAAAAAGTACCATGTCCTGTCTGCAAATCGCTGATGTTTAAAATGTCTATTGTAGTTTAAGCCAGCGGGGGGAAAACCGCGCCAGCGTTTTGGCCGTTTTTGAAAACACACATATTTCATTCGTAACATGCACATCTAACGTTACGTCGCTGGGTTCGGGGGTGGGGATGATGTTAATGTTCATGTTAACTTGCGTCACATGCACATCTAACGTTACGTCACTGGGTTCGGGGGTTCATGTTAACTTGGGGTGGGGATGATGTTAATGTCACATGCATCTGACGTTACGTCACTGGGTTGGGGGGGTGGGGATGTTAACGTTCATGTTAACTTGCGTCACATGCACATCTAACGTTACGTCACTGGGTTGGGGGGGTTGGGGATGTTAACGTTCATGTTAACTTGCGTCACATGCACATCTTACGATTACGTCACTGGGTTGGGGGGTGGGGATGTTAACGTTCATGTTAACTTGCGTCACATGCACATCTAACGTTACGTCACTGGGTTGGGGGGGTGGGGATGTTAACGTTCATGTTAACTTGCGTCACGATGGATGAACTCCATGACCAAAGGTCTGATGGAGGTCACAGGTCAAGCCTTGAAGAATCGTATGGCAATGTGAGTGGAAAAAAAATCATCGCGCGAGTTTTCAGGCACAAATTCCCTGTAAATTACAGGTCATGTTCAAAAAACCACTTCAAAATCCCGGGGATTTTAAAGACAATTTTGGGGAATGAATCAGCAGTTTCGCTATGGCGAAAAAGACATTTTTTTCAAAACGCTCAAAGCGCTGGCGCGGTTTTCCCCCCGCCGGGTAGTTTAAGACACTTTAGGACTTTCATTTTTCTTTCTGAAATCAGCTCCTTTAAAAGATGAAAAAGGATGTCGCTGCGACATCAGCCTGGTTGTTGAAGTCTCGCAAGGGTAGCGGGTCCTTTTGGAAGTTGCAAACTCAGCAAATGTCTGATCAAATTTAAACGAAATAGATTGTATCAATAGGAAGGGTTCAAAGGTTCTAAGTAGCAACCGACCTCGTCATGATCGATGCTTCCAAGCAAAGAGAGGAACCAGCCATCGGCATCCTGCAATGGTGTTTGCTGCAATGCCAGCACATGTATTGAAGACAGGCAAGACCACAACCAACCTCTATGCTTTGCTTTGTTCACATGTCCTGTCCGAACCATGGGTTCTTACAGCACGCAGAGCGGATCTTGCACCCTTCCCCTTGCCATGTGTTGTACAGCTGTCAAGCACGACATGCCTTGCTTGCTTCAGATTGCTTGTCTGTCATCGTGCAGGGCTTTGACATTCGCGGACTACAAATAGTGCCTTTTCCATCCCTTTTGATTTTCGTGACCCAGCAACTGCACTTCAAAATGCAGTCAGCGAAGTCACTGACTTCAACCAAACGTGCTGTATCTTGCAAACTATATAGATGGTGTGCCATGGTCAACCTTTCGACGTATGGAAATTGCAAACCGTTGCCCTTGCATGCGTTCATCATCGTTCATCCCAACGGTCCTGCAAAGACATCTCTGCGACTTGTTGGGTCCAAGTGACCCAAAGGGAGGGCAACTCATGGAACTTTCCTCGCTGAAGCCCCTGTCCAGCGGGCTGTGCAGTTATCAAGAACGCAGCTTGAGAAATTGCGAAATCATTGCGACTCTAACTGTCGTATACTGTCGTTCAGTGCCCTTACCTGAACGATGAATCGCAGCGATCGTTCTAGCGTCCGGCCAGTCATTGGCTCACCTTCACAGACTTGACAGCATGAAATTACGCCCAAAATTTACAGTCGCAACATGTCATAACCTGTCGCAACAAGATCGGGTAAGTCTGGGAAGTCATGGTAGGCGTGAGTGTAGGAACAACTTATTCTGGGTCGCTCGTGCTCTTGCGGGCTTGGCCCTAGCAGCCTTCAAAGGACCTTGCGTGGAGGCTTGCGAGGATATGTTTTTTCAAATCGCCCAGCTCCTTGCGCCACAACACTTGGCAACTCTACTGTGGCAGCAAGATCATCTTGATATCATGATACTTCATGATACTTCACACTGGTGATTCATCACGCTTGAGAGTCACGCTTGCTTGAACTCTGTCGTCAATTTCTGCCACTCGAGCTTTGACAAATCCTGGGAGCCGTGGAATACAAAGATTACAAAGCATCCTTTGTGCCACAAACACTTGAAAATCGAGGCGTGCCTGAAGATCAGATTTTGTCGTCGCAGGCAAAAAAAGTGTTTTCACCTCCAACAATTTGAACTATATCTGATATCAAACAAATGCTGCAAGAACCATGCGCCCGCTAAAACTCTGCATTGAATTAAGGACCTTCACATCGCTGTAGAGCCTGGAAAGAATATGAACCTCATCACCTCGGCAATGCCATCTCCTGCTAAGTTCGGAATGATGCATGATGATGCATGCATATGCATGCAATCAAACAGAATTCACTTCTGTTGGAACCACCAAGAGGTGCACCTGAAGAGTCATTTACGCAGGACAAGTAAGACCTGCATGGCACAATCCGACACAACTTGCAAGAAATGAGGAATCCGACAAGAATTCGTTCAAAGAATGGCAGTCGCATGGACCAAGCAGGGGCATTTCAAACATTGTCAAAGTCAAGATTGGGACAGTCAACCAGGGGCCGGTAGCCGAAATACTAATCCACACGGATATATATATATATAAAACTATAATTATTTATATATATATATATAGATAGATATGGTGTATACATGTCTTTCGGTCTTGCGGTGTGTTTTCTTTTTAGTCTACCCTACTTTTTCTGCTGCAATTCCCAAACGGCAGTAGCTATTGAGGCCTTTATTACCGAAGGAGGAAGTTTAGAAGTCAAACTTCTGACAACATGGACAGATGAAAAGCAGAGATGGGAAGAGTCAGAAGAGAAGAGAAGAGAAGAAGAAGAAGATCAGAGAAGAGAAAGAGAGAGAAGAAAGAAGATGCAGGTGCCAAAGGCGCCAGGCTCACTTAGAGCTTGGACTTTGGCTCACTTAGAGTTTTTGGTTCACTTAGAGCTTTGTAGGCTCACTTAGGGCTTGGCTTTTGGCTCACTTAGAGCCGGGCTCCACGGGCTCCACGGGCTCTACGGGCTCTACGGGCTCTACGGGCTCCACGGGCTCTACGGGCTCTACGGGCTCCACGGGCTCCACGGGCTCCACGGGCTCTACGACCTCTACGGGCTCTACGGGCTCTACTGGCTCCATGGGCTCTGGGCTCTACGGGCTCTACGGGCTCTACGGGCCTTGCGGGCCTTGCGGGCATTACGGGCCTTACGGTTAGAGAATGATGGAAAGAATATTGGAGGACTAGTACTTAACAATACTAAGTATCCGACTCTTTATCTAGAACTAAATAAAGATATTTTACATTTAAATTTACATGCATTACATACATTGCATACTTACATACATTACATGCATTACATGCAGTACATGCATTACATGCAATACGTACATACATGCAATACGTACATACATGCACATACATATACATACATATACATACATATACATACATATACATGCATAAACATACATATACATACCTACATACCTACATACCTACATACCTACATCCCTAAATACCTACATACCTACATACCTACATACCTACCTACCTACCTACCTACATACATATACATATACATACATACATACATACATGCGTGCATACATACATACATACATACATATATACAACATACATGCATACATATACATACATATACATTAATACAAATACATACAAATACATACATACATACATACATACATAAACATACATATACATACATAAACATACATAAACATACATAAACATACATAAACATACATACATACAAACATATACATACATATACATACGTACATACATACATACATACACACAGACATACATACATACATATACATACATATACATACATATACATACATATACATACATATACATACATATACAACATATGAGTCCATACATATCATACCTATTAGATACTGATACAGCATATACATACATACAACATAGACATACATACACATACATTCCACAACATCACATCATACCATACATACACATAATACCATAACACACATACTACACAGAACGCATAACATACATCCATACCACATCCATACATCCATACATACACACTAACATAACAATCAATACATCCTACATAACAATACATAACAATACATAACAATACATAACAATACATAACAATACATAACAATACACAACAATACACAACAATATATACATATACATAACATATACATAACATATACATACATATACATACATATAGATACATATACATACATATACATACATATACATACATATACATACATATACATACATATACATACATATACATACATATACATACATATACATACATATACATACATATACATACATATACATACATATACATACATATACAGACATATACATACATATACATACATATACATACATATACATACATATACATACATATACATACATATACATACATATACATACATATACATACATATACATACATATACATACATATACATACATATACATACATATACATACATATGCATACATATACATACATATACATACATATACATTACATACACCCATAACATACCATACATGCATATACATACATATATACATACATAATATGCATACCTACCTACAGTACAAGTATACATACATATACATACATATACAGACCTTACATAACATATACATACATTATACATACAAGATAACATACATATACATACATATACATACTATACATACATTCATACATACATACTATAAACAATACATATAGCATAGACAGACAAGTACATACAGACAATCCTAACACACAAAACCAACATACATACATCATACGCATAAGATGTCATACATTTCATAGCTACTTACATACAACATACATGCGTGGAATAGCATGCTGCAAGCAATCATACAGCATACATATCACACATACTATAAACCCAATAACAGAAGACATACATCCTATGACATAACATATACATACATATACATACATATAGATACATATACATACATATACATACATATACATACATATACATACATATACATACATATACATACATATACATACATATACATACATATACATACATATACATACATATACATACCTATACATACATATACATACATATACATACATATACATACATATACATACATATACGTACATACACATACATAGACATACATATACATACATATACATACATATACATACATATACATACATATACATACATATACATACATATACATACATATACATACATATACATACATATACATACATATACATACATACACATACATACATACATACATACATAAACATACATACATAAAAGGACCGGATAACCCCACATGTCAAGCCTTTATGTATCTAAGCTTAATGTGAACTTCGGGGAGGTGTGAGATGTGAGAAGTGGACTTGTGATGTCAGGTGTGAGAAGTGGAACTGTGATGAGTTCTGATGTGAGATAAGTGAGGTGTGAGAAGTGGTGTTAGAAGTGGAGCTGTGATGAGTTGGGATGTGATAAGTTGTGATGAGAAGTTGTGATGTGATAAGTGAGGTGTGAGAAGTGAGGTGTGAGAAGTGGAACTGTGATGACTTGGGATGTGACAAGTTGTGATGAGTTGTGATGAGAAGTGGACCTGTCAGAAGTGGAGCTGTGATGAGTTGTGATGAGAAGGTGTGATGTGATAAGTGGAGCTGTGATGAGTGGCGATGATAAGTCTACGGCGGCGGAGGCGGGAACAGGAGCGGCCACGCGCGCCGCAGCTCCTCCAGCAGGCTCTGTGTACTGCGCCTGCCACGCAAAAGGCAGCCGCTGGGCCAGCCGCCAGGAGGCTCTGTGTACTCGCGAAAGGCAGCCGCGAGCCAGCGGCGCCCACGCGCCCCGCAGGCGGCGCCCACGCGCGCCGCAGCTCCCCCAGGAGGCTCTGTGTACTGCACCTGCAAAGGCAGCCGCGGTGAGGTAAAATTGCGATTTCACGGGTCCGGTCTCTGTGTGTGAAAGTGTTGTGTGTAAAAGCTTCTGTGTGTAAAAGCGTCTGTGTTTGAAAGTTTCTGTATGTAAAAGTGTCTGTGTGTAAAAGCGTGTGTAAAAGTGTCTGTGTGTAAAAGGGTCTGTATGTAAAAGCGTCTGTGTGTAAAAGCGTCTGTGTGTAAAGGAGTCTGTGTGTAAAAGCCTCTGTGTGTAAAAGCTTCTGTGTGTAAAAGTTCTGTGTGTAAAAGAGTCTGTGTGTAAAATGTCTGTGTGTAAAATGTCTGTGTGTAAAAGTGTCTGTGTGTAAAAGCGTCTGTGTGTAAAGGAGTCTGTGTGTAAAAGCGTCTGTGTGTAAAAGCGTCTGTGTGCAAAAGCGTCTGTGTGTAAAAGTCTGCGATTGAGACATGCAATGGTGGGATTGAAAATTGATTTCTGTTTTCTGTTGAGGTGGTATGTGACTGCGAGGATTGACTTGTCTTTAGTTGGATCATAGTCCCGTGGGATTCAAGTATGGAGTTTTTGCAACCACGTTCTCTGTGCGAGCGGTCTTCAACTAGATGTTGAAGCGAATCGGTTGGTCGGAGCCTCAAGTGGATGCAGATATGCATTTAAAGCAATGCTGTCGACATCTTTCTTCTGTGGATATGGTCCTGCATGCATTCTTTGGAGATTGTGTTTTCTGATTGTTCCAATTCAAGCATGGAGTTTTACCGCGTTCTCTGTGCGAGCGGCATTCAACTGGATCTTCTACAAAAGAATCGTTTGGTCGGAGCCTCAAGTGAATGCAGAGATGCATTGAAAGCAATACTCGCGACATCTTTCTTCTGTGGATATGGTCTTGCATTGATTCTTTGGAGATTGTGTTTTGTGATTGCTCCATGCTCTGTAGGGGCTGTCCGTGGACATGGAACGGTTGCATTGAAAATTGAGTTCTGGTTTCTGTTGAGGTGGCATGTGACTGCAAGGATTGATTTGTGTTTAGCATGATAATACAGAATTTTTGGACATCGGCTGAGGATGGATGATTGATAGCACCCGCGCTAGGAATGTGTGGAGCTCGGTTGCTTTAGTTGAAGCGAGGGTGATGATGGCAGTCACGATGTCCATTTTTGAAACTTTGTTTGTGTTGCATGGGGTGAGAGGGGATTGCAGTGGAGTTGCTAGTAGCTGTGCGCAGTGTTGCGGCTTTTGTTTTTGGTGGACAACATGGAAATGACAGAGATTGTCGGTGAACATGCTTGCTACTGAGCATTATCTGCATGCAAAATGTTTGGTTCAAGTGGCGCATCCGTGACACTTGTGAAAGCATTGTGGTCACTGTTTCATTTGCTGAAGGGATTGTCCGTGCGAATGGAGCAGGTGACCGCGTCGTCCAATGCCGTGGAAATTCGGTTGCAGGAGCTGCGTAGCATTACTGTGAC